CCAGCAGTTCAATCCTGACCAGCTCAAGGTTGACTCAGCCTTCCATCCTCTCGAGGTGGGTAAAATGAGGACCCAGATTGTTGGGGGCAACAGGCTGACTCTGTAAACCACTTAGAGAGGGCTGTAAAAGCACTGTAAAGTGGTATATAAGTCTAAGTGCTATTGCTGGTAGCATTTAGATTTATATACCTCTCCACACTGTTTTATGGCTGTCTCTAAGCGGTTTACAGAGTCCGCCTGTTGCCCCCAACAATCTGGGTCCACATTTGACTCACCTCGGAAGGAGGGAAGGCTGAGTCAACCTTGAGCCTGGTGAGATTCGAACTGCCAAATTGCAGGCAGCCGGCTAGCAATTTGGCAGAGAGTTTAACTTGCATTTTTCTCACCGTACTGAATGGGGCATATTGTACCACTACGTTACCCATGTGAGAGCTTCAAAGACATTCAAGGGAAGGGAAATCGCTTCAGTTAAAAAAAGACAGCTAAATATTATTTGAGTATCATTTAAATTCAGAACGAAAAGGAAGAGAGGGTCATATAACCCGGGGGCAAGGTTTTGAAAGTTACAAGGTGTACGGTATTTAGCATAATGAAGATATCTGGTTAGGCTAACAGCCTGGTGCGATTTTAGCTGATTTTTTCCCCCCTCCTCTCACTTATGAAACTAAGAATTGTGTAATTCATCCACTTTTGCTGAGTGAGGATGAATACTCAGCAATCTGTGAGCTTTTAAATATGAGGGAAGGGCAGAAGGGTCTCAACGCCTGTCACCAGAGAGCCCAGCTTCTCCTGAAGACAGAAGAAGTTGTGGTATTGTGGTGGTCAGCTGTTTTGGAAGGGCGAGTAGAAATGCCTCCTGGCCAGACGGCCATCAGAGGCCTGGGAAACGGCTGGTTTAATGAAGCTCAACGGTGAAGTTGCTTCATTTCACAGAAATACCTCAGAGGGACACTTTGATCATGCCTTTGACAGAAACTAAACAACCCTTTGAGGTGACTTGGTCACAGTAAATGCCTCCTCCCCTGCTTGCGAAGGAATTGCGAAGAGCCAAGGTGGCGCAGTGGTTAAATGCAGCACTGCAGGCTACTTCAGCTGACTGCAGTTCTGCAGTTGGGCTGTTCAAATCTCGCTGGCTCAGGGTTGACTCAGCCTTCCATCCTTCCGAGGTGGGTAAAATGAGGACCCGGATTGTTGGGGGCAATATGCTGACTCTGTAAACCGCTTAGAGAGGGCTGAAAGCCCTATGAAGCAGTATATAAGTCTAACTGCTATTGCTATTGCTAATTGTCCTTCTTTATCTGGTAGGGATTTCCACCGGCTGTAATTTAGTCTCAATCTGAGAAGCCGATGACAGCAGGGGTAGACAACTTCCAATAACAGCTCAGGATGGGCAGAACGAGGCCTGCCCTTTGGCGACCCTCTTATTATAGGGGGTGAAATGGAGGCTTTAAACCTCTGTAAAAATGGAATAGTCCGTTTCACCCTTTAGCATCTATCCAAACACCAGAAAATGGAAAGGAAGGAAGGAAGGAAGGAAGGAAGGAAGAGGGAGGAAGGGAAAAAGAGGAGGAGGAGGAAGGAGGAGGAAGAGGTGGAGGAAAAGGAGGAGGAAAAAGACAAAGAAAAGAGGAAGAGGAGGAGGAGGAGGAAGACAAAGAGGAGGAGGAGGAGGAGGAAGGATACAGAAAAAGAGAAGGGGGGAAGAAGAGGTGGAAGAGGAGGAGAAAGAGGGAGAAGAGGAGAAGGAGGAAGAGGTGGAGGAAGAAGAAGAGGAAGAGGAGAAGGAAAGGGAAGAAGAGGACAAGGGAGGAAGAAGAGGAAGAAGTGGACAAGGAGGAGAAAGAGGGAGAAGAGGAGAGGAGGAAGAGGTGGAGGAAGAAGAAGAGGAAGAGGAGAAGGAAAGGGAAGAAGAGGACAAGGGAGGAAGAAGAGGAAGAAGTGGACAAGGAGGAGAAAGAGGGAGAAGAGGAGAAGGAGGAAGAGTTGGAGGAAGAAGAAGAGGAAGAGGAGGAGGAAAGGGAAGAAGAGGACAAGGGAGGAAGAAGAGGAAGGACAAGGAGGAGAAAGAGGAGTAAGAAGAGCAGAAGGAAGGAAGGAAGGAAGGAAGGAAGGAAGGAAGAAAGAAAAAAAGAAAGAAAGAAAGAAAGAAAGAAAGAAAGAGGGGGAGACTCAGAATGTTATCCTATTTTTCCCCCTGAATGCAGCTTGGCCCTAGATAGGTTCTAAGCCAGTTCTTGCCCACTGCTGACTTAGGAGAGGATGAAAATGATCTCTCTCCACTTTGCCTCTAGGCAAACCTTAACTGGCGTGAGAAGAAGGCATCACGCAGAGCATTTCTCTCCAAGAAGCCTGATTTAGCACAGTAACAGATAAACATGCGTTAGCTGAATGTGTAGCTTGGCTCCCCACCAGAGAAAAAAAATAATAATAAAAGGGAATCCTTGCAGCATTTGGCACAGCCAGTAAACATTTTACTGATAGGCATAATTCTCTTGAACACAGTCCATGAAAACGTGAAGATGGGAGGGTGAGCAAGACCATTTTGAGCGAAAATTGCCTTGCCTAAAGTTTTCATGGTGAGCATTTATTGACTTATATACCAAGGCTGTGAATTCGGTTTACGAAGAGAACATTATCCACATTGATGCTTCTCGTGTTTTCTTTTTTTTAAAAAAATATCCTTAATAAACCAATTTAGGCTCCAGATGCACAGAGATATTAGATCTTTTCAGTGTGACTCAGCTTTTAACAACCTTGTAGGCTGAGAAGGTCCACCGTATTTAAAACTCTAAAATAATTCCAAAAAAAATGACAAATCTCTGGAAGGTTAAAATAGGAATCGGGGAGGAAGAAAGAGCATAATAGACGCTAAAGGAATATACCAATCTTTGCTGTTGTTTATTTTACAGCAGGGCTATTATATTCTTCACAGTTTATCACCAAGATGTAAATCACAGCTGAAGTTTGGGGGAACCATAAAAATAAAAACACTTTATGGCTCAGACATACAGAATGCCAGCCCACTTCTGAAAACAGTGTGATTACAATAGAGGAGTAAATTATACGTCTTATTTAAAAGCTTTGCTTCGTGTCTGAAATGTTGTATTACTCCTAATCTGCCGTGCACCTGCCATCTACCCTCTGACAGCAGTTGAGTGTCATGCAAATAACCGGGTTGGGGGAGGATGTGGTAAGTAGTAGAGAAAGTCGAAGCGTTGTCAGCTGGGGGAAAAAAAAAGTTTATGGCTATAAGATTATAGAAGAGAGGCTGAATCAAACACCCACAAAGATAAAACACAGAGTGATGATTTTAAGCAGTCAAGATTTCACACACACACACACACAAACACACACATATGTGTGTGTGTGTGTGTGTGTGTGTTGTATTGTGCTGATAAATAAATAAAGGGAGACTAGTACAGATCTATTTCAAGCTATTTAGCTCTCATCAGCTAGCCATACCCTTACTGGGATTTGAACCTGGGCTATATTGCACACTAGGCATACTAGGCAGAGATCTTAGCCATTAGGCCACAGGCTCTTATCCGTTTATCAGCGAAGCCAGGGTGAAAGGTATCTATTAGATTTTTTTACAACCCCTGGTAAGCCCCAATTATGGGAGGAAGCTAACCTCCCATAATTGGGGCTTACCAGGGGTTGTAAAAAAAATCTAATAGATACCTTTCACCCTGGCTTCGCTGATAAACGGATAAGAGCCTGTGGCCTAATGGCTAAGATCTCTGCCTAGTATGCCTAGTGTGCAATATAGCCCAGGTTCAAATCCCAGTAAGGGTATGGCTAGCTGATGAGAGCTAAATAGCTTGAAATAGATCTATACTAGTCTCCCTTTATTTATTTATCAGCACAAATAAAAAAAACAAACACAAATATAAGAAAGGCAACAGTAAAAAACATTGGGTTTCTGTCGTGATGGACTCTTGTGACGAGCCGAAGGACAGATGATGGAAGCAGTTAGCTTCCTCCCATAATTGGGGCTTACCAGGGGTTGTAAAAAAATCTAATAGATACCTTTCACCCTGGCTTCGCTGATAAACGGATAAGAGCCTGTGGCCTAATGGCTAAGATCTCTGCCTAGTATGCCTAGTGTGCAATATAGCCCAGGTTCAAATCCCAGTAAGGGTATGGCTAGCTGATGAGAGCTAAATAGCTTGAAATAGATCTATACTAGTCTCCCTTTATTTATTTATCAGCACAAATANAGGTAGTCTGAAAGCATCCTGATATCAAGTGTTTGTTTTTAAAGTTTTTTTTAATTTTAATTTAATTTATTTTTAATTTTTTTCGTCGCGCTGTTGATGACGTCAGGTACGCGCTTTCGTCGAGCGCGCTTTAGTGGACCGCGGTTTTGACGGGTCACATGTTTATTTATGAATGAATTTGAAAGGGAAAAATTAAAAAAAACTTTAAAAACAAACACTTGATATCAGGATGCTTTCAGACTACCTTCTCTCTTACAAAGCTGATTGGTCATCTTGCATTTATGGATGCAATTTCTCTATGGCAGCACCCTTGATTGGCAGTGCTCTCTCCCCCCCCATGAAATTTGAGAGACCCTTAACCTTCTTTATGTGCCATGGAACTAGACTTTATTGCTATTATTTGATGTTTCCAGAATCAGAGGTATAAATGACCTTAAAAAAATAGCAAGAACAATTCTGAAAGATTGTGTGCATTGTATCTTCCTATTTGTGTACTCTCAGAGTCAGAAGACTGGATGGTAGGAAACAGCCTGCTAGATCAGGTGGATTTTGACTGTTAAAGTTGAATAGGACTAAACTACTTACTAAACTATTGAAATTGCATTCCACTCATTTGCCAGTGTTAATTTCTGCAAATGTTAACGCTTTATTCTTGTTCCTTCGATTGGTTTACATGTAGCTTTCCGTTTCTGCGCCAGTTCCATAGATACACTGAATATACAGGAGAATGTTTACAATGTGACCAAAATAAACAATAATCTATTTCAACTAATTCTGTAGGCCCCCACCTGTGCGGGAAGGCGCCCCCAAAGGAACCCAAGTGGTTGTGGTAACGGCTGCTGCCTTGAACCAAACAATTGTCTATTCCATTGTTTCAGGAAATGAAGACGGTAAGTTAACGTGGCCTTGCATCTAGTTTCAGTAAATTATATTTTTAAAGGAAGAGGAGGAGGAGGAGGGAGGAAGTAAAACATCCCAAATGGAAAAAAGTAAATTTAACATATTCCGTTTCAAGATACATAGCACAATTGTAAAGAAGCCATTTTATCTATTCCTAAAATGTTTATAAAACCTTTTTTTTTGCATTCCAGGAGTGTTTGCCATTAACAATAGAACAGGAGTTATCTCCATTCAAAAATCTCTGGATTATGAAACTGCGAGAAAATATTTGCTTCGGGTACAAGCTGATTCCTTAATAGTAGTCCGTTCTAATTTGCCAGTGCCATCCAAAAGTAAGTTAATCCTTCTTTCCTTCCTTCCTTCCTTCCTTCCTTCCTTCCTTCCCTCCCTCCCTCCTTCCTTCCTTCCTTCTATGCTTCTTTCTTTCCTTCCTTCCTTCTATCCTTCTTTCTTTCCTTCCTTCTCCAAATTTGATGTTATAGCTGTTGCTCTTTTCCTGATCTCCCATTACTTTGAAAATTAACCTTTTATTTGCTTATATCTTATATCAACCCTTGAATCAACAAGGTAGGAATAAGGTCCACCCTCTTCAAATCACAGGATATCTGTCCTATAATTAAACTGGAATATCATGAGCAAAATTAATATATTTATTTTATAGTTATTATATATTTTTTTCATTAAAGGTATGAGAAATCCAGAAAATGGAGATGTATGTTCAATGTTAAACCAGGAATAGCAATAGCAATAGCAGTAGACTTATATACCGCTTCATAGGGCTTTCAGCCCTCTCTAAGCGGTTTACAGAGAGTCAGCATATTGCCCCCAACAATCCGGGTCCTCATTTTACCCACCTCGGAAGGATGGAAGGCTGAGTCAACCCTGAGCCGGTGAGATTTGAACCGCTGAACTGCTGATCTAGCAGTAGCCTGCAGTGCTGCATTTAACCACTGCGCCACCTTGGCTCTTAATGAATGAATGTTTCTTAGGATTATTTCCAGAAAAAAAGTCATTATTTAAATGAAAAGCAAGAATTAAACCTTGCAGTTCTTAACAATGTCACAGAAAACTATGGAAAAACACCATAATTTCTGAAAACTGGTTGTTCCAGCAATTTCCACAGGGAAGAGTGCCTTTGTTTTTCCTGCTTCTTAGCAGTTCAATGTTTATGTTTTTATTTATATTTTTTTTCCTTCTAAAGAATTGAATGGGGCCAAGCTATCTATGTCAGCACCAAGCTTATATGGATTAGTTGTGAATTTCAACAACTAATAAGCAAAGCCAGAAGGATCTGGGATTGAATAGAACTAAGGCTTAATAACGTATACCAATAGAATTTTCAATTTCTATCAACATTGAAAATCAAAGTTATATAGCGTTACATTTTTCAATGATCTCCTTCAAGACTTCTGAGGCATATCTTCCCAATTGTGGAGCTTTTGTGGTGTTTTTTTAAAGGGATTAGTGTTTAATATCTACTGGGGAAAGTCAAAACAGGACAGCAGTTAGACACAGCATTGCTACCCAAGCTCTAACCTCTGTCAATATTTCATACACATACAAAAGGTTTGAGGCTTGGATCACAATGTCATGTCCACTGTTGTATCTTTTTGCTTTACAATGACATGTGACATGTTTTTTGAAAAGACATAAGACAGTGGTTCTCAACCTGTAGTCTGCAGACACCTGGGGGGGGCCATGCTGGAGGCCCATGATGTTATAGGCAGTTCGTGAAGACTTGAAAAATTGTCATGATTTAAATCTTGAGCTAAGTGCTGGGGGTCTGTGGCCATGGTCCATTGTATTAGTTGTTGACATTCACCAAAGTATTTAAAGGGGGTTCATGGTGAAGAAAAGGTTGAAAATCACTGACATAAGGTATTTGGAACGTTTTGGTAATCTTAAATAAACATTCTTAGAATTAAATAATAGCGCAATACATTCTGAATTGTAACCTGAAATGATAAGAATGTGTGTGACACTCTAATTTATGAAGATCTATTTGCTTCAATCCAATTACCAAACTCAATGAGCTAAAGAAATAGAACAAGGAATGGCGTTTTATAGATGATTCTATTTTTGCACAAAGATAGAAAGACTGCATAAATATATTTTTTTCCTTTTTAATTTACTTTCTCTACAGAAAAGAAACCATTTTTGGTTCTTTTCCTTTTGGCTATATAACTTTTAGACCAAACTAATTTGCAAATTTCTATTTACCTTCCAGTTATAGCAGAAGTGAAATGTAATAAAAACTTGGGTTTGTTCTTATATATTCATTACAAAAGAATTGGATTGTCTCCATTATTGACTGTTGCCCATTATAAACACATTATGCAGTTAATGGGGAATACTTTTTAATGGGCAAGGCCTTGATTTCAGTGTGACATTGTTTGTATGCCAGAGGTTTCTGGTCCAATATATGAAACCTTGGAGAATAGTAATTGTAAGTTCCTATTGAATTACTAGATACATCATTCATGTAATTTTGTGTAAAGGAGGTTATACTGTTACAGTTTTCTACTATAAAATGTGCAATTAGGATAAAGAGTAAAATTCAAAGAAATAATGAGACAGAGGATGTATTGTAAACAATTATTTGCATTAATCCAGTGTCTGACTTTAAATCATAATAATCACGAACCAAAAGATTACACAATACATCTTGGAGGAAGATCAAACACTTGGCTAAATACAATGAACTTCGGAGCAATTAAGATATATTTTTTTTAACAAGGACAACAAAAACATCTTGCATTTCATTTTATGCTTTTGTTTCAGGATGTATCCTTGTAATTTTTTTTAGCTCCTAAATGATATGCTACAAATTATATCTAAGATAAAGTGATTGAGTGAAATTCTTTTTTAAAAAAATAACATTAACAAATAATACCTTCCATCCCTGTAGAATTTGCTAGTTCTTCTAGAGGAAATAAATGTATACAGGATTTGTATTCTACATTATTTCAGTGAGTATCTTNATGTGAATGAGCAGAATTCACAGTAAATTAATAAAAGGGTTTTTTTGTCGGGACAAGGAGTTGCTTCATGCCCTTGGGAAGCCTAGGTCAGAAAACATACACCAAAGTTTTGCATCACAAACAAAACTATCAAAACTGGGAAAATTTCTGAATCAGTGACAAGGTCATTTTTTTTAGCATAGAACAAGATGCTTAACCATGCTGAACCCCATTCTCACTCATTCAATGTAAGGCTTTGGTTTGTATACGACCCTACATGTAGCAAAGCACACATCTGTATCCTCCTCCTTTGCAGTTGTTCTGCCTCAATCCTCAGATATTAAAGGCTGGAACCAAAAAATCACTAAATCTATAGGTAGCAATAAACTTCTGTTGCACCTTTATATGCGGGGAGCTGTTCTCCTAAATCAGGAGTATCAAACTCAATCCCGTTGCAGGCCATATCAGGAATTTGTTTGCCCTTGGGGACCTGGGTGGGTGTGGCCTGGTCATCGTGGCTGACTGGGTGGGCGTTAGCCAGGGTGGCACAGGCCAATCCCTTGATGTCTCCAAAACGGCATCGTGGGACAACTCTGTGCCTATTGCAGGCCAGATTTGGCCCCCGGGCCACAAGTTTGACATGTCTGTCCTAAATAAATTGAAGATACAAAGAAAGAAAAGCTGTTTACGACCGCAATTGAGCTCAAAATTTCAGTTGCTAAGTGAGACAGCTGTTAAGTGAATTTGGCCCCATTTTACGATCTTTCTTGCCACAGTTATTAAGCAAATCGCTGCAGTTGTTAACATAGTCACGTGGTTGTTAAGTGAATCTCGTTACCCAATTGACTTTGCTTGTCAGAAGGTCACAAAAACTGATCCTTTGATCCCGGGACACTGCAACTGTCATAAAAATGAGTTAATTGGCAAGTAACTGAATTTATATGACCGTGGGGATTCTGCGACAGTCCTAAGTGTGACAAACAGTCATAAGTCACATTTTCCATTGCTGTTGTAACTTCGAACAGTCACTAAATGAACTTCTGTAACTTAAGGGCTACCTGTAAACAGAGACCCAGTGAATTTAAAGTAACAGCAAATTTTTAATAGTTGCAATGTATATGCGTTCTTTCTCACATGCACACATACACTTACCTGTTCTGTCCCCCCTTCTCCACTCGTTAACATAACAGTTGACAGGCAGACAAACTTAAAAGGAACTCACTTTATCAGTTCTCGGCTCAGACTGGCTGTGAGCCCAAAAATAAACATAAAGTCTCTGACAAGATAACAGATAACTCATATAAAGCAATGCACTTCTCCAAGTGTATCCTTGAATCAGGGTTACAGAAAGCAAATCACTTCTCCAAGTGTCTCTCCAATAAACCACGACCGATGATCAATGAATGCATGAATGAACGAACGTTGACTCCTGCAACAAGGGCGTGGCACCATCCGTCCTTTTATTACCCGAAGACCTACTAACGAGCCCCAGCTGCATCGTTAAACTTGGATCCCGAAAAGACTCACAGAAGACTGCTGCTGAGTCACAACACTTACCCATGTCTTCTCAACTAGGTTGCAGGTACGAGCTAGAGCAGGGGTGTCAAACTCAAGGCCGGTGGATCAGATGTGTTCCACAATGTTGGACGCAGGGCCTTTCTGGAATAATGTAAGGTAATGTAATGTAATAACGGCAGCAAGACTGTTGGTGGCGCAATACTGGAAGAAGGAAGACTTGCCTACAACTC